GGACGCGTGGGGCGTGGCCATGGGGACGGGCGGCGCTCAGGTGAGGGGATGCCCGGGGCGTTGCCATGGGGACGGGCGGCGCTCAGGTGAGGGGACGCCTGGGACGTTGCCATGGGGACGGGCGGCGCTCAGGTGAGGGGACGCCCGGGGCGTTGCCATGGTGACGTGGGGGCGCGTGAGGCGTTGCCATGGGGACGGGCAGCGCTCAGGTGAGGGGACGCCTGGGGCGTTGCCATGGGGACGGGCGGCGCTCAGGTGAGGGGACGCCTGGGGCGTTGCCATGGGGACGGGCGGCGCTCAGGTGAGGGGACGCCTGGGGCGTTGCCATGGGGACGGGCGGCACTCAGGTGAGGGGACGCCTGGGGCGTTGCCATGGGGAGGGGCGACGCTCAGGTGAGGAGACGCCTGGGGCGTTGCCATGGGGACGGGGCAGGGCTCCAGCTGATCACTCGGAGCACGGCGCTGTCCTGGAGCCATCGGGGCGCTCCCCCATGTGCAGCGTCTCCCCGGGGCGCTGTCCTGGGGGCTGCCTGGCCCAGTTCTGTGTCCCCCCAGGGCCCCACCACTGGGTCAGCTTGGCGATTCCGCCCACGCCGGCCCAGCTCCCGGGGCACCACGGGCGACAGCTGCAGGGGTTGAGCCCCCGCCCTGCTCCACAGGGAGCCCTGAGATTGCCCACTACGGGCACCCTGGCCGTGTGCAGTGAAACCCCACAACGGGGCGGGCGGAAGAGCCAGCCTGCAGCGTAAGTGCCATGTGGCCGCAGAGACCTGGCTCAGTGCAGGCCCTGCAAAGTGGGGATCGCCCAGAGCAAATACCAGCTCAGGGGAAAGAACTGTATGTTGCTTGGAGCTGAAGTTCGGAACAACTTTGATTAAATTGGAAGACGGCGTATTATGTTCAGGTAAAGTCAGTGTGGTCACTGCAGATGGCAAACAGCAATTCAGGGAATACACCTGATTCTTCTCATAGACTTTAAGGCCAGAAGGGACCATCATGCTCATCTACTCTGCCCTGAACATTGCAGGACACCGAACCTCGCCCACCCACTCCTGTAATAGACCCCTAACCTCTGGCTGAGTTACTGACTTGCTCACATCATGACTTAAAGACTTCAAGTTACAGAGAATCCCCCATTTACACTAGTTTAAACCTGCAAGTGACCTGAGTCCCATGCTGCAGCGGAAGGTGAAACCCCCCAGGGTCTCTGCTAATCTGACCTGGGGGAAAGTTCCTTCCTGACCCCTGAGCACGTGCACAAGACCCACCAGCCAGACACATGGGAGAGAATTCTCTGTTGTAACATCTTGTGTCCCATCACCGGCTGTTGGAGCTATTTGCTGCTAGCAGCTGCAGATGGGCTCCATGCCGTGGTAGGCAGCCTCATCATACATCCCCTCCAAAAACTTATCAAGGTCAGGCTCGAAGGCAGTTCTGTTTTCTGCCCTCACTGCTCCCCTTGGGAGGCTGTTCAGAGGACCAGAACTTCACTCTTCTGATGGTTAGAAACCTTTGCCTAATTTCAAGTCTAAACTTATTGATGGCCAGTTAGTATCCATTTATTCTTGTGTCCACATTGGCACTTAACTTAAATAACTCATCTCCCTCCCTGGTCTTTCTGTATCATTAGTGAAATATTCTGTGCCTTTAACTCCACCGTGTTACCGGTTCAAGTAGCATTGTTGGGGGTGTGTGTAGCTGGCCAAGCTGGTGCTCTGCAGCAGGGGGTGAGCAGCCTAGAACTCTTCAGTACAGATCAAGGCCTCCCCGGGATACTGGGTGTCTGATTCCAAGCACCCCACGCCTGCTCTGGAGAGTTTGCCACCAGTGGGAGGCAACACGAGGCAGCTTTACATAGGGGGGAAATGTTGTTGGACTAGTGGAGGGTGTCTTGTTATTGGAGGAAGATGGAGAATCCCCTTCACACAAAACCCATCGCTGTTTGCTGCACTAGGAGAATGCAGGGGTCCTTTCAAAACCCCGCCCGAGTGCCACAAAACCCACAGCCCCTGGAGCCAGTAAGGCAGCAACCATGCAATTAGGTTCCTTAGTCCTTGCCACCCTTCTCACCTGATTGACATTCCCACACCGATGGGGCTGGCTTAAGGCACTCCGGGGCCCTCAGCCCATCTCCTCCTGGGAGCCCCTCGTATACAAGAAGCCCCGGTCCAAGCCCGTCAACAGGAGTCTGATCAGCCCTGGTGGTGGTGGTGAGGCCCATGGTTCCCTCGACTCCTCCCCCGATGGAGGCCGTGTGCAGGCTCAGGCAGACATTGGGACCACTTCCTCTCTGCATGTTTTCAAGCTTTTCTTCACAACAGTGAGGGCTAGGAACACAATTTAAAAAAACAGCCAAACACAATCCACCAGCCATGATTCTGATGCCAGCGGGACACTCCAGGAACCAGGCCTGTACTGCCTATGCCTTAATCCAGCCCTGCCTGCAGAGTGTAGGTGTGCGACACAACCCAGGCCTCCTCCCCCCTTCCCAAGCGGTTTGTACCAGGAAGGCACAGGCCGTGGAGATTCTAGGACCGGGGAGCCAGCAGCCCTCACACACTCTGCGGGGTGCGGAGGAGACAGGCAGCTGAGACCTTCAGGAGCAGGGGAGAGCCAGGGCTGCTGGATCCAAGCTTCCGAAGGGAGCAACTCAAAACAAGCCTGTCCAGCCACAGTCCTTGCTCCCAGTAACCCGTTCCCCTGCTACACCAGCCACTCGCGCAGACTGCAGCGGTTAGTTCCCCATCCTCGGAGCCCGTCGTGTGCTGAAGGGGGGCCAGTTCATGGCTGTTTGTCTCTGGCGTAAGGGATCATTGGGAATGTTTGGTTTGTTTACAGGACGCTCAGCAAGGCTGCCCCAGCCTGCCGTGTCGGGGAGTCTCCTAGCTACTGCTCAGGGAGCTGGGGCACTCTGCTTTCTGCCATCCCCATGCGGCGCTGTAACGCCCAGCTGCAGCCATGCGCCGGAGAGGCCACGTCAGTGCACGCAAGAAACGCGCAGCGCGACACCACTACTACGAGCTGTCCAAGGAGAGAGCGAGAGCAGCCAAGGCTCTGGCAGGTACATCCGGTCCCTCGCTCGGAGCCGGGCACGGGCGGGACACAGGAAAAGCACCTGCCTGCTGCTTCGGGAAGGGTGACACCCCCCAGTGCAGAGGGATCACACAGGGCCTCATCCTGCTGGGCACCCTTGGGTGCTTCATTGGGAATTGGGTACTTGGCACCCCAGAGGCCAGGCTGTGCCCAGTTAGTGGCAATGTATCAGAGAACATGGGTGCCTTGTGCTCTGTGTGATTTCTGCCGGGTGTGACGTGCCATGACCCACCTCTGTCTGTGCATGTGCAGGCACTCCTCCGGCACCTGTGTGTCCCCTAGAGCTGTCACGTGCAGGGTGTGTCCCAGAGCGCTCGGTGCAGGCATGGAAAACGCTGTTACATCCCCGGAGAAAACCTGCCTTAAGCAGGAGCTCAGCTTGAGAGCACGTGTCCGTGATGCAGGGTGAAATCCACCCCCGGCACAGTGCCGTTCTCCCCACACCAGGTACTACAAACCCAGGAAACTGTCTTAAGTTTGACCTGAATCCGAGCATGGTAATGTAGGGGCACCCAGAGAGCCTTAACTCTGCCCCGGAGTGGAGCCGTGCCGTAATCATGGGCTATGATTAACACATTCCACTTTGTGCTCTAGACTAAATGAAACTGGCCTGGGTGAGACCTAGCGGCCAGAGCACTGGACGGGGACTTGGGAGATGTAGCGTCTGTTCCCAGCTCTGCCTTGGACAAGTCATCGCCCTCGCCTTCGTTTCCACAATCTGGGAAAGGGGGCTAAGGGTGTGGCTTTGTGCAAGGCTTTGAGCTCTGGGTTGGAAAGTGCCAATGAGAACTAGGTAGGATCAGGAATTTTTCTCCTGGGGGTCTCTCCATGCACGCACACACGTGCGTACGGTTATTCCTGCACAGAGGGGGCCAGGATCCGTGGGACTCGGGTGACTCAGCCCTACTAGGTGGGGAGCTGGCGTTGTTGTACTTAAAGTACTGCACAGGATCTTTTCAGGGGGAATAAGGCAAAACGCCACATTTATTAGTAATACATGTATTCATTAACACTGTATTATATGCATATAATATATTACACTTACACTCACTCACACACACACACACACACACACACACACACTCACTCCGTCTTGTTGTTACCA